TTTTCTCTCTGTAGGGTAAACTGAAAATATGATATTACAAGGTCAGGGTTAAAGAGCGATCCACTACCAAAAAGTTTCCTAACCTTGTTCAATTACCCTGTTTTTAGAGAAAGTGTGTGTTTTGTTGTTGTTGTTTTGTTTTTGTTTTACCTAAGGAGAATAGCTGTCTCATGTCAGAATGGTTTCCTGTTGGAAGGGGAGAAATACCAGCAGGGTACAATGACTACAGAATTTGATAGGCCTTTTACCAAATAGTCAGAGAGGAAGAATAATACAGTTAATACTTATTTGATACAGATGACAAGTTCCAAAAGACTGAAGTATTGCATCAGACTACTTGGTGGCAAGGCCAGCAGCAATGTTCCTGTGGTTGCTGCTACTGTTGCTACCTTGGCTATAAGTGTATCACTGGGTGGGAGAGAGAGAGGGGTCAGTGACTTTTTTGAACCACTCCCCCTATCTGCTTGCCAATAGAAAAGATTAGAGAGGTAGGATGAAGGTAAGAATTAATCTCTGAGAGGAATCTCATTGTCTAATGGGGGATGGAGGTACTGCAGGAAAAAAAACACACACAACTACAACAACAAAAACACACAGTCTGACTGCTGGTGAACATACCAGGATGAGATTAGCACTCTGTACGAAAATCAGTCCTATTTCTGTTATCAGCTACTTTTCGTATGAATATATATTGGTGTCAGAGAGCTTCTTGGAGGGGGTAAGTGTTTGTAGAACTACAGAGAAAACGGGGACACCTGAGTCAAGATACCCTTTCAAGCCATGCAAATAACCTTTGCCAAGTCTTGGAAGTTATTCCCTAACAAGACTGCTACTAGGAAGCTTCTAAGTACTCACAGATGCACTGGAGTCCAAAGAGGGAAATAAAAGAATGAAAGCAGTTATCAGCTACCTGTGTGTTTATTATCCTAAGGAGGATACTAGAAGCCTCAGAATTTTTATTTGAAGGGTCAAAAGTGTTTCAAAACCCTAAGGGCCTTGTTATTCCCATGGTCTAGAAACAGTCAGTTTAAAAGTCCAGCAAATATGACAAAGAAAGGCTCATCACATTGAGTGCAAGATCTTAAAAGACTTAGCCAACAAAATTAGAGAAAAATAAGTAGCCACAAAACACCCCTGGAGACCATGCAAGAATCCCTGAGAAACCTGGTTAGTTGGACTCCCGCAACAACTCAAGCTCCACTCCACAACCTCACAAGTAATTGGATGGGTCCCAGAGCCAATATCAACCCATTCTTTCCCTCACTTTTTCATCCTCTTGGGTAGAAGTTAGCTATCAGCAGAGCAGGTTGGGCAAATATTACCAAGTTTGATGTAATATTTGCCCAACCTGGAACACTGGAAGGAGCTCAATGTAAGAAGATAAAGTTTGGTAATTCCAAGTGAGGAATGAGGTAGCTGAAATTTGAAACTATTGTTGGATAACATTTTTTATTCTGTATGAAACAGATAGTCCAGCCTGCAGAAAGGGCCCATTATAACATGCACCTTTTGGTATGGGATAACAAGTTAGAAGTGTTATTTCTGTATATATGTGTATATGGCTACATAAATATATACTCCAATAAAAGGAAGTAGTAGTTAAGTTTAAAACAATAGATTAGTAAATTACCAACTAAAATAAAATTTGGGTAATGTATCCATTGTGGGCTGTGGCCAAGAATCTTTCAATAAGATAATGGAATGCTCACTGTACCTGTTTACCACAGTTGAGTGAGGGCTGGGATATCTGCCCATGCTTCAGGTGAGACGTGACATGACAAAAGATGGTTTGACTTTCATGGTGGGCATAAAGTGCAATATACACATCATGTATCACAGAAAACTGAACTTAAAACATGTATGATCCTATTAACCAATGTCATCCTGATAAATTTAATAAAACATAAAACTTGAAAAAATATTTTTCCTATTTATTTATTGGATTTAGAGGAGAAAGAAAAAGAGAAAGAAACATTGATTTGTTGTTCCACTTATTTATGTATTCATTGGTTAATTATTATATGTGCCCTGACCAGGGATAGACCCCACAACCTTGGTATATCAGGATGATGCTGTAACCAACTGATCTACTTGGCCAAGGCCGAGAAGTGACATTCTTGATGGAGGGTTTTCCCCATTCAAGAGGGAAAAAGAGGTGAGGAGCCTCCCTTATTGCTTATCTTTCCTGGCTATGAACCAATATGAGGTCCAAATGAAGAATGGGAGCAGAAACAAGAGGTCTTCAGCAATTGAGAGCAGTAGTAAAGGAGTGGAAGCCATTGTAATTTGGCCAAGGCTTTTGACTTAAGGACACCTATTCTGGAATTTGATTAAACAAACAAAATAAAGTATGAATTATGTCAATTTAAAATCTGGAGCTTCAAAATAACTTTTAACAGTTTAACAGTTTGAAGTGTTACTATTGTTTGCTTGTCTAAGCAGCTCATCATGAAATCTTATGGAGGGGAGTGTGGTCATTTCTTAGCAAATTATAGTGCCCGAGACCTCTTCTGAGGGGTCCTTAGAACTGTCTAAAGATGTTTATATTGTCTTTGTAGCTACATGAAGTCCTCTTAAAAATTCTGGTCAGTGTCTGCTTTGATAAAAAGCTTTTTATAAAGTAGAAACAGTATAAGCATGTCCTGCCAAAGCTGAATCCTCTTGTTGAATAAATTATGGAATGAACTTCTCTTCACTAAAACACTGGGTAGCAGAGCCATGTACATTACTGAAGAGGTTTGTGTTTTGTTTTGTTTTTGAATACTTGAGAGGCTCTTTTCCCTAGTTAAGCTAAATCAGAAAAATATGATAAGAGCATCATTGACTCTGTCCCTGTCGATCCCACTACATAAAGTTTGTATTAACCAAAGCTGTTGACCATTAGGAACAACTGGTAATTCCCATTGGGTAGGTGGCCAAATGATGATCAATTTCTTGCTATCTCTACAGCCATCATTTCTCAGCAGAGATAGGAAAGAGGGAGGAACTGGGCTTGACCATTCACCATAACCTTCCAGTGGTACTTTACTCCATTCAACTCATAGGGTCTGCCTGCCAGGCCAGTAGCAAAGCTGATTCAGACCATTCCCTAAGAGCACAGCTGAAAAACAAGCACTTTCTGGATAAAAGATAGAGGAAGAGAACCACCCTAGTAGTAGTTGGAAGCTAGTGGTAATCCCCCCTATCCTCTCTTCCATCATACATGTGGCACAACTTTTTCTGAGCCAAGCAGAAAATGTTTCTAGTATTGTCATTAGGCCAAGGCATGGGGGAGGTAAGAGGGTTTGCATTTACCTGTTTGTTTTGAATATCACCAAATTGGACTTTTTTCTAGGGCTAAAGGCCCTGTGTGTCTGGGACTCTACAAACTTAAAAAAATATATTGATTGCTTGATTTGAGAGAGAGAGAGAGAGAGAGGGAGATATTTGTTGTTCCACCTATTTATGCATTCATTGGTTGATTCTTGTATGAACCCACAATCTTGGCATATTGGGACAATGCTCTAACCAACTGAGCTAACTAGCCAGGACTACAAACTTCTTAAATGGATAGTACATGGAGCAGCTTGACTCTTGCTGCCTTTTATGTCACTAATGCTCTTGAGAAACAAGTGAGAAACAGGTTTGTGCAGTTCTGGGATACTTTGGGCCACTATAGAAGATATGGGAGCAGTTGGAGCAGAAGCCCAGGCCAACGATCCCATGAGGGAGGTGTCTTTTCTGTGTGCATGCTAGCCAAAAAGGAAAGCAAAGAAAAAAACTACTCTTGAGATCTCTTTCAGTGGTATCATCATTTACATTAGCAAACGTTTATGTGTTTGTACACATGTGGCTACATGGTCTAAATAGTGGGAAAAGGATTGGGTTAGTAGTCAGGAGACATGCATTCAAGCCCCTTAGTGGTTGGTTCTTAATTTTTTCATACACAAAATGGAGAGTAGGAAGGAACCATAGTATTTTTTAGGTCCTCATTTTTGTAGAATGCTGATTACTCCCATTTTTCTCTGATGCTCTGAGAATGAATCAGAAGAAACTCACTACGAATCAGAAGAAACTCACTATCTCTAAAGTCAATAGATAGTCTCACTATATAACACAGGGATGAGCACATTATTAGCCTGGTGTGGCTTCATGATCCCGTGCTTAGGTAGAGGTGGGACACACTGTTTCATCAGATGTGATTCAACTGAATAGTTGCTTTAGAAAGAGAATATTAAAGACAGGGCCAGTATTTATCATAGTTACCCCTGACCCTCATGAAGGGGATTACACTTCCCTCCTTTGAAAGAGAGGTAGAGACATGGACTTTCGAGAAGCAGAGAAATATAGGCCAATCTGGAAGGGCAGCATGCACAAACCCTTCCTTCATTGATTCTGTCTGAGTCCATGCAGGCACACCTTGTGTGGATTTTGGAGCTTATCTATCAAAGTCATGGTACTCTTGAAATTCACATGAGTGTGATTGGATGTTTCTGGCATGGGGACAACACAAAGGTGATAAAACTGGTAGTTCATAGGGAGAGTATCCTAAATATAGTGGGCATGACCAACTCCCTTTGGAGCTTCTACAAATTGCTTGAAACCAAAGGATTCCTCAGGGTGGCATTGCATGTAAATTGCTGCCAACTCCCTTCTATTGGCAAACCCTGGTAAATTTGACTGCTTTAGAGTTTTAAAGACATCCAGGTAAAAGTCCACCAAGTTCTGTTTGGAAACTTATTGCCAAGATCTGAATATAATGGGGCCACAGTTCCTGATTGGAGGCACTGGAGGTCTTAGAGGATTCAACAGAGATTGTTCTGATTGTTCTGCCTAGTGCAGTGATGGCGAACCTTTTGAGCTCGGCATGTCAGCATTTTGAAAAACCCTAACTTAACTCTGGTGCCATGTCACATATAGAATTTTTTTGATATTTGAAACCATAGTAAAACAAAGATTTATATTTTTGATATTTATTTTATATATTTAAATGCCATTTAACAAAGAAAAATCAACCAAAAAAATGAGTTTGCGTGTCACCTCTGACACGCATGTCATAGGTTCGCCATCACTGGACTAGTGGCCCTCATGAAAGTATAATGGGCTAAGTTGAAGGGGGTGTGCATATGGAACTACTGAAGGTGCTATTGTAGGGCTTTACACACCCAAGTAGAGTCATTGGTGTTTAATAGGAAGATAAATGGCACTGAACATCATGTTTTCTCTCTATCAGGCCTGGGGACCTTGTTTTGGCCAGCTGTGTCCCCCAAAATTGTGAAGAATCAAGATTATCTGCCAAGGTGCTCTTTTTTCATTCTCCAGTCCCAAGTTAGTAATTCTGTTACCATGATATAAAGTGAAAAGAATTAGTGATTTCTGAGGCAAAAAAGGAGTAGTTTGAAAGGGGTGGCAAAGGGCACTGGTAGTAGGTTAAATGGGTACAGTGCTGTAGTGGACCACGGAATTATAGTCGGGTGGTGGACTGTGGCATTCCAGGGTAGAATCCAGTGGCAGAAGGGAAGTATCTTTAATCTGGTCTTCCTCTTCAAGCTCAAAGGCTGAATGGTATTCCATAAGCTCCATCTCAGTCTCACTCTGAAGGGACTCCTGGTTCTTGATGACAGTATTCAGGCTGTTAAGAGAGAAAAAGAAACACACTTAGCCTAGTTCTGATGAGTTTAGAGATAGGAGGGCATATTTTAGACAGATGGATGCTAGATATTGGCAGGCATGTGGAAAGACTGAAACTTCTTTAAAAAATACCAAGTTTTTCCTTTTGGTAAGCACAGGTCTCCATGAACTATGGTGACCTGTGTTAAGCAAATGCAGAAACTCAGGAAATAGAAACTGTGGCCTCTTCTAGCAGGCAATTTTTTTATCTGACTGTGGAAAGCCATTAGTAATATTTACAATGTGGCATATGTCTACTGCTAACACTTACTCAAGGCCCAAGAAGTTTTACAGAGATGTGTAACCTTGGAAGATTCGTGATGTGTGCTTCAATTTTCCCAATTGTAGGATGAATTTGAGGAAAGAGTTGAATTAGATGATCTTTAAATTCTTTATGGTTCTAATATTTTCTTTGACTATTTTGGGCCTATAAAAATGGCAATCACATACAGGTTAACTTAAAGCTTTGAGGTGTCATGCTCTCTGTCACAAAAAGAATCTCCTGTGACCTTAGTCTTGTTTCTTCTCTTCATTATCACTCACATTCTTCATATGTAAAAGAAGGAATGAAAGGTCTCTAGGCATACCGGAGTGGTTGCAGTAGGGGTGGAAGACTAGGAAGCAATTCTTTTCTCTGGACCCTGGGGCACTGAGTTTCTCTTCTGATATTCCTTTCTTCCTCATCCTGAGCCCCTATGCCACAAAGGAACTTCCCCTTATTTGTCTCTATCACCTAACAAATCCTGAGATCCCTTAGTGGAAGTTAAAACCTGAGGGCACTCCCCCAAAGGGGCCTTCCTTGTTGTACAGACTGTTTAGGGTCCCAGGAACTTTGTAGCCCAGGCCCTGGGTTATGATCTGGGAACAAAAGCCCCAGTTTTCCTACCAGTTTAACAAAACTCTTAATAGGTGTTTAATGAGATTCTTTTACATAAAATATTTTATTAGGAACTTTATTTTTATTGTACAGGAGACTCTAGGAATCAAAATAAATGACATTTTTTCTTTTTCCTGAAACATAATTCAATGATATATAGAATTTTTCAAGTTGAGGAAATGGTACAGCTTCCCACATGCTATTCTTGAATGAGATTCAGTGTGTTCAGGGAATGGGGGAAAAGAAATCATCTCTGAGGAGTCCACACCTCTGTAACAAAGTGTACCACTGACATGGTTGTCATGCCATTTAAAGGTATATGGTTCTTCTGTCAAGTAGAAGATGCCTTCACCACTACCACTTATTCTTTTGTGGCTTAAGACTTTTATCTCCTGGGTAAGAGCAGCCAACTCTGAAAGAGGCTAGATGTAAAAAATGCTATATCATCTCCCATTGGGAAGAAACTTGTAAGTTTTTTTCCAAAATGTATACCTCATTTCCCCACTATGGATCAACCTGCTTATTCTCCAATCTGTCCAACACTTCTTGGCCTCCCTCGTACTCTGCCTTTGCCCATGCTTTCCTATAACTGGGATACTTTCTTTCTTTTTACACTCTTATCTAAATTCTACTTACCATCCCAGGTCTTATTCAGATCCCACTTTGCCAGACAGATCCTACCAGCCCAGTAGGCAAGCACCCCTTTCCCCCACTTGCTCTGAACTCCTAAGGATTGTAGTTAAAAGAGAAGACTCTAGTGGCCAAAATTCTATGTTCAAATTAAGCTCTGCTATTCATTAAGTTAATAAATATCTTTTTGCATTAGTTTCCCTGTCAAAGAAACACATAGAATTGAGACGGTTGAATAAACGTTTATATAGAAACTACTTGGAACAGCCTGGAACATGGTAAGTGTTTTAAAGGTGTTAGCTATTTTTGAAAACACCCAAGCAGAGAAAAATTACAAAAAAAGGAAAGTGTAAGGGGACTCAGAACAACATCATTATAGTGGTACCTGAACAAAAAGAGAGAGAGAGAGAGAGAGAGAGAGAGAGAGCAAGGAATCAAGAAAGTATTTGAAGACATAATGGCTGAAAACTTGCTTAATCTGGTGAAGGAAAATAAGACACCTGTCCAGGTGCACAGAGTCCCAATCAAGATGAACCCAAAGCAGCCCACAACTAAATGGCAGCCCATGATGTGCCATTTAACACATCATGAATAAAATGGCAGCCATTAAAGAAAAAGAGAGAATCTTAAAGCAGCATGAGGAGGACAATTAGTTACCTACAAGGGAATTCCCATAAGTATCAGCAGATTTCTCAAAGAAACACCTCAACATAATTTCGCATGAAATATTGAAAGTGATTAAGAGCAAGGAGTTACAACCAAGAGTACTTTACTCAGCAAGTAAAATTGAAGGAGAATAAAGAGCTTCTCAAATTAAAACTAAAAGTTAAAAGAGTTCATTATGATCGAACCATCATTACAAAATGTGTTAAAGGGTCTTCTTTATGAAGAAGAAATAAAATAAAAATAGTTATAAAGAATAAAATGGCAATTAAATACATACCTATCAATAATTAATTTAAATGTAAATGCATTATATGCTCCAATTAAAAGACATTGGGTAGTTGAATAAATAAGCAAACATGACCCATATATATGCTGTTGACAAGAGACCCACCTCAACACAAAAAATAAAGGAATAGAAAAAATAAAGTAAAGGGATAGAAAAATATATTTTGTGCAAACAAAATTTTTAAAAGCTGGGGTTGCAATACTTATATTAAACAAATAAACTTTAAAACAAAGCTAGAGAGTTGAGAAAATGGTAGCAGAATAGGCAGACCAGTCTGGCACCTCATCCCAGGGCCAAGATGGAAATACAACTAAGTTGGAGAACATTCACCTGGAATTAACAACTGAGGTCCACTTGAGGAGGTGACATAACAGGGAAGAACAGAAAATGACTGGAGATGGGTAGAAAGGGCGAGGTCACAAGAAGAGTAGGCCCAACCCCCAGGGATGGCAAGGGATGCTGAGAGAGAAAAGAGCACTGTGCTATGGGAAGAATTGTTCCAGGAGCACAGACTGGACTCCACACACCTAACCAGCTGCACTACCCAACCCATGGTGGCACTTCCTGATCCATAGCAGGGCGATCCGCAGTGCATGTTTCATCCAATCAGCTGCGAAAGATAGCAGGACTGCTGACAGCAACCGAGTCTATACCCAGCAGACCAGAGCCAGTGGGAGAGAGAGTCACAGTTTTGTGGGTTTTTAAAAAACCTCTAAACCCAGAGCACAGGAGTTTTCATTTGCAACTACTACACACCTGAGGCATTGACGCAGGAAGGGAGATGTGAACTTGAGGTGTCTGAGGAGAGGCTAGGGTGGGAAGCAGGGCAGAAAGACTTGGAAAAGCAATAGCCAGGAGTGCTGCATTGGGTTGTGCATATTTCCAAAACAGCCATTTTTCCTGGGAGGAGCTAGCTGCTCCCAATCCAGAGGGCAGGTAAAGGGGCGGGGGAGGGAGGAGAACAAAACACAAAACTCCAACTAGGTGATATAGCCTGCCATACTCTGCATTATGAGGTTTACTGAGGAAACAAAGGCAGAGGCCAAGATTATGGGTGAACAGTCTCAAGGAGCCTTTTTGACTGCATTGGAGGAAGGGCCATCTGACCCACTATTCCATACAAGGACCAGCCAAGAGCAGAGTAATATTTTGGGCCACTCACAGAGGAGTAGCTCTGGGGCCAGGGAAAAAACAAACCAACAAAAAAAAAAACACCCATAGAACCCACAGATGCCGGGTCAGCGGTGGCCACTGGCATCCCCCACCCCCAAGATGGCGTCCAAGCGGGAGAGCAACACGGGCCTGTGGCTACACAACACGCTGGGTGCCACGGACAAGCTGTGGGCGCCGAGGAGCATCACCTCGCTGCTCACGGCCATAGTCATCGACAACACCTGCCTCTGCTTCCATGGCCTCTCGTCTCTGTGAAGCTCAACCTGCTGCTTGGGACACTGCACCTCCAGAGTTGCACAGTGGGGAGATGAAAGGCGCCCTGACGAAGATCATCCAGCTGGCTATCCTGGACTCGGACCCCTGGGTGCTCATGGTAGCCAACATTCTCAAGTTTTTTCCAGACCCGGGCTCGCTTAACCTTGATCTTGAAAAGCAGAATCCCAACATTCAGGATATTCTAGAACTTCAAGAGAAGGTGACTGAGTGTGACACGTCTGCCATGCTGCCTTTCAAGTGCCAGTACTTGAATAAAAGCACCCTGATGGTTTTCACCGGCCCTCTCAGCCCCTCCGGTGAAATACTTCCAGCTGAAGAGGAAACCAAAGAGTGCCACGCTGAGGGATGAGCTCCTGCAGAAATCCACTGAGACTGCCCAGCAGCTGAAGAGGAGCACAGGGGTGCCCTTCGACACCAAAGGCCGGGGGCTGCTCTGGAAGATGGACACCACAATTCCACTCAAAGGCATCCCAAAGAAGGTGCCCTTCTGGAGCCCCACGGCCCCCAGTGTCTTCAACCCTGCGGGGAATCAGACCCCCATCCCACCCTTGAGGACACCTCTGTGAAAGGAGAGGGGCATGAAGCTGCTTCACATTTCTGAGCTGGATACAATCGGTGCTGGCTGAGAGGCAAATAGAAGAAGGAAGATGTTGGACACGAAAGTGGTGGAAAAGCCAGCCAAGGAGGAGGCAGTCATCAAGAATGTCACCCTCCCTCGTGGCCAATGGAATTTAAGAAAAATAAAAAAGGTAAAAGTCTATAACAAGCAGAGCTTTCATTAAAATTAGGAAGTTATGACTTTTTTGGTTAACTTTAACATTAAAAAATGTAATATTGAATCCAAAAAAGTGACTTAGATCACACAAAAAGTTACCCATCTTAAAACTTAAAAAATAAGTCCAAAACATCCCAAGAACATATCTAAAGCCTGGGGTCTGGGGCTCAGCAGCATGGTGAAGTCTGGCCTCTCAGAAGCCAGAGCCTCGTTCTCCTGGTGACTGGTCTTTGGTCATTACGACATTATGACTACTGGGTTTTTATTATATAGATAATG